CAGGGATATATACCGATCACAGAGTTTCAAAGGCGGTAAGTTTGCCCCAGAGAGGGGCTGGTACAGAAGTTTCTCATAAAGAAGGATATGACACGATGGTGGCAAGAGGCCCCAAGAGATTCCGGGATACACAAATACTCATGAGCTTTTCACACCAGAAAATCAAGCCAGTGGCATGGATTGGATGCATGTCCATCTGGGGCCTTTGATCTTTTCCTCAGAGTGAGGGATCTGCATGGGGGGCGGGGCCCTCTGTCCACCTGGACCATACTACTAACACTCATCTTGTCTCCTTTCAGGAAACTATGCAGTCGAACTTGTGAATGACAGTCTATATGATTGGAATGTCAAACTCCTCAAGTGAGTAGGGACTTTGGGATAGGAAAGGTTAAGGAGCAGTGTGAGTAGAGCAACTGATGGACCTCTGGGGCAGTCCCACCCAGCATGTTGGTTGCAGGGTCCCAGAAGGAAGTGTGGCAGTGGTGTACCCAGCTACTGCCAGTCTGGGCAGTGGGACCCCTTAGGAGGCTCCTGGGTAGGGACTAGGAATCTGACACCAGACTCATTTCTTTCAGAGTTGACCAGGACAGCGCTTTGCACAATGATCTCCAGATCCTCAAAGAGAAGGAAGGAGCTGACTTCATTCTACTTAACTTCTCCTTTAAAGTAAGATTCTCCATTCCCATCTCTCCCTCCTTGACTCAGGCTTCCTTGTCTGCCTTAAGCCCATTGAGGTCTCTGGCATCCCCTCCCTGACTTGTCTCTGCCCTTCTCTCTCAGGATAATTTTCCCTTTGACCCACCATTCGTCAGGGTTGTGTCTCCAGTCCTCTCCGGAGGGTGAGTGGCTGGGCGAGGGGAAGAGGGCAACTCCTGAGGCAGAGGGTGAGGAAGGGACTTAGCTTTGGCCAAGCACTGATGACTGGCCTTTATTCTGCAGATACGTTCTGGGCGGAGGTGCCATCTGCATGGAACTTCTCACCAAACAGGTGAGACTGTCTTGTACTCTTGACTGGCTTGGTCTGGGTGGGGCTGGGCTGGGCTTTACCCAATCTCAGGGAAGGGGGCTATAGGCATAAAGTGGCCCTTTTATTCTGCCAGGCAGGATGTGTACCCACTGACCCAGGTGGAAAGACTGTGGCTATACTGGGGATAGAGGGCAGGGGCCCTTCTGTAGAGGCAACTGCTTGCTTGGAGAACAGTGGAAGGTGTTTTGGGAAGCTGTGTCTTGACTTGCTTGCTTTGTCCCTCCCATGCCCCAGGGCTGGAGCAGTGCCTACTCCATAGAGTCAGTGATCATGCAGATCAGCGCCACGCTGGTGAAGGGGAAAGCACGGGTGCAGTTTGGAGCCAACAAAGTAAGGGGCCTGGATGGCCACTGAAGCCAAATATAATTTGGGCCACTGGCAGGCCAAGGCTGCCTTTGAGGGACCAAGAGGATAAGGGCCCTGGGCTGGTGGCATTGGAGAAGAGGGCCTGGGGTGGCCATAGTAAGAGCAGGGTATTGGCCTGAGGAGGCATCCTCAGAGTTTTGGGAGGGCCTAATAGGTCTGGAAAGGTAAGACTGTGGCACTGTGTCCCCAAGGGACCTTTCAGGCAGGGGTCCTTAGTGTGTTACCAGAGCACAGTGTTGGGAGTTGGGATTCCTGTGTGGCAACCTGTGGAAGGTGAGGGGCACAGCTGGCAATGGCCTGATCTGGTGGCTTCCTCTTCCCAGTCTCAATACAGTCTGACAAGAGCACAGCAGTCCTACAAGTCCTTGGTGCAGATCCACGAAAAAAACGGTGAGGCTGGAGCCAGTCCCCTGGAGAGCCAGACACTTGCCAGGCCCAGGTTTTCACTTCAGCCAAATACCAACAGTCCTTTTTAGTTTCTGAGCCTTAGCACCCATTAACCCAGCACCTGCCCAGTTCTTCAGAGAAGGCCTGAGTATCACAGGTAGACTTGGTGCTGCCCTCTGCCCACCCCCTCTGAAAAGCTCATACAGCTCTTCTCTCACCTCAGATTAGGCTCTTCATTCTTTCCTTATGATCTCCAGGTAGGCAGTCTGTTTTCATATACCTCTGTCCCTGCACTAGGAAGCCTTAGGGTCTTCTTGCCGGAATATTGGTGTCCTTAGGGATCGGGGTGGGGAGGGAGGGCCTTGGCCTGCCCCTCAACTATGGTGCTATTTCATTGCAGGCTGGTACACACCCCCAAAGGAAGATGGCTAACCCTGGAGTGTCATCCCCCTCCTCCTTTCCCAGGCACCACTGGACCAATTACCTTTGAATGCTGTATTTGGATCTCACGCTGCCTCTGTGGTTCCCTCCCTCGTTTTTCCTGGACGTGATAGCTCTGCCTATTGCAGGACAGTGATGGCTATTCTAAACGCTAAGGAAAAAAAAAAAAAACACAAAAACACAGAACCGTTTCAAGTACTCAAGACTGACTACAGATCAACCACCTTGCTGGAACCCTTGCTAGCAGGCATTCTTATAAAGAAACTCTCAAGCCTCCTTATATTGCTGGGAACTCAGCTGTGCTCCAGACTAGAGCCTCCTTACCTATGCTATGGATTTTTAATTTATTTTCTCTTATTTCATGTACACTGCTTTTTTTGGTTACAGTGTATGATGGATGTGTATGAAAAAATGTATCTTTGGGAAAACAATTACAGTTTGTTAATTTGAAGATGCTGGTCTTGACTCATCTTTATTTTTATTCCCACATCCCACCCCACCCCCATCCCCTGACTGCTTGGGAGGTGGGGGAAGGGTGCCAGCCCACCGTGCTTTGGTAGTGATGAGAGACTGTTTTGCTGCTAGTGCAAGAGAAATGAGCTGAAGCACCTGATTGGCATACCTCTAGATTCCTCTTGAAGATCTGTGGAGCAGCCAGCAACTGTGCCCCTTGGAAGGCAGAGCCTGGCCTGCTAAATTACAGTATAGCAGCCTGAAATGACCTTGAGTCTTACGACTACTTTTCACTTCTAGTCTCAAGTTTTCAAATTTCTAAGAAAATGAGGCTAAAGAGGCCGCTTCGTAGAATTCCTTTTAAATGAATTGAGTGGGGACGGAGAACAGGCTCCTAAGTGTGTATGTGGTCTTCTCTAGTCACAGTACATACTGTGGAGCTACAACTGTTCACTGGCTCCTATCCATTCTGAAAGTGGCTCCTGACTACTATGGGATGGTAGTGTGCTCTGCTCACCTTCCATCTTTTGCTTCATTTGGTTTCGGGAGAAAAGATGGGCATACCCTGAAGTAAGATGACTTGGAGAACTGGATTCTGTCAAGCCGTTCCCCTGTGGTGGGTTCTATTGGAAATGGCTAGCTCTGAGGGGTTGTTCTATGCACCTGTGTTCCAGACCCAGGCTTGGGGAACTGATGGGGAGGGAAGTTTAGGTGGGGTGGAGTCTGTACCAAGTTTGAACTGTTGGTGGTGTGTTGTATGTACCTGCTGTTGTAAACGTTTGGGCATGGCTTTCATATAGCGGGTGCTGCCTGCATCTCTTTGCCAGTAAGCTTACTTTGGGCTGAGGTAGATTGTTGAGACTTACTATGCCTACAGATTGGATAAAGATTGAAATGACAGAGGCCAGGGACGGCTAAGTGAAGACCCAAGTCTTAGAAAATCCAGATCTGGGACAGCTGCCTGGGCATGTATAGGCAGCCAGAGAAGTTCTGTAATGCTTTTGAGATCATTTGAACGTGATCATCCTTTCTTTCCACCCTACCCCTTTCTTTTGAGGGGTTTTAACATCTTGCTGCTTTAGGTGGAGTTCACCAGTCCTACTCAATGCTGCTCCAACTCTATACTCACACCCACCTGATTAGGGGTGCTAATACATGCTGAGGCTGAGATAAAGGGGGAACACAAGGGGAAAATTCATTCCATAGAGCTGAAACCTGGTTTCCATAGCCTCTGTGGCTTTCTTCTGAACTTCTCACCAGCCCTAGCTGGAATGTAGATTGTGTTTTTAGTAATGTGTACTGTGAGCTGTCCTCTGTATAATGTATTTTGTAATGTATTTTTCTCATCTACCAAAGGATGAAACAAATAAAATTATTTAAATAGTTTGGCTCTAATAAACTTATTTAAAGAAATGATGGGTTCATGTTCACTTGACCTAAAGGAAAATGCCAGCTGCTGTGAATTGTGTAACACCAATCTAAGAGAATCCTTCCAATTTTTTACTTTTTTGGGAGGAAGAGGCAGTACTAGAGGTTGAACTTGGGGTCTTGTACTTGCTAGGCAGGCGCTCTACCACTTAAGTCATTTAGCCTCAGAGAATCCTCCATTTTTCTTGTCAAACCTAACATACACCTTTACAGCCTTATGTTGAGGGTTCTTACAAAGTTACAATGCATAGGAAAACAAGGCCATGCCACAGAATTTTCTTCTCTCCGGTAAGAAGACGAAGAAACCTAGGTCACCACCACACCTCAGTAAGGGTTCACATGGCGCAGAGCCAGGAGTGAGCACAAAACTCACAACAGCTTCTCAATCTTGCAGCACTTTTTGAGAACAGGGCAGTAGTGGGGTAGCCAGAAACAAGTATCAATCACCCCGAACATGAGAAACATATCAACATTTATTTGCCAGCATGATCGCTCACTGGCTAAATGTTCTCTACTTAAGTTCTACCTGATTGTACACGGAACACCAGGAAAACTAGGCATGGGGCCTTCTATTCTCCAGCATCTGTTAGGGCAGCTTATGTCATGCTGTGGGATGCAAAGAAAAGACATTGGGGAAAAAACATACTGGCTGCCTCAGGCTTTCAACCTAATGGAAACTTCCTAGGTTTGGTTCATATGTTCTTGCCAAGTTGGGGACCCTGAAGACAAATGACAAATAAGACCTTTCTCTCTTTGAAAGATAAGCTGGAAGTAAAGGCAAAATGGAAATCAAGTCAATGATGGGCATACTCTGGCCTTTTTTACATTCAAGGCCTCAAGAGTGAAGGACACAGGATAGGCAGGCAAGCAGGAGAGAAAATGCGTTGGTTGTGTCCCATTATTTAAACTCTTCAAACTTGAGGATATGCACCTGGAAGAAAAGATCTCAGTGGGAAAGAAGCATCACCCTCAGTCAGTCTCCCAACCCCTTGGGTTAGTTTCATCAAAGAGAATCCCAGGGAAACCCACAGAATCCAGGTCTGGGTAGTGGTCACTGGTCAGTCCCCAATGGTGGGGATGAATAAAATGTAGTTACCTCAGAATTCAAAGCACCAGTGATTTTCCCTTTGAGGATTCGATGAACACCCTGATGTGAATTGAAAATGTCTGCAAAACAAATACAAAATACCTCAGTGACACATGGTGCCGCAAAGGAGGGAAGCAATAGGCAGGGGCCACAGGGAAAGTGCTCTGGCTGCAGACCAGCTCCCCAACAAGTCTCTGCTAGTTCCTGCTAATTCCCTGCTGCTAGGATAAAAAGATGATAAAAGCTGAAAAGGTGGGAAGAGGGAGGGCAGTGAATCTATATAAAAGAAGGTAGCATTATTATTGTTGTTAAAATAATTACAGAGGATCTGGGTTTTATGTTCTCTAATGGGAAATTCTACTGGTGACAGAAAATGATGTTCACTTGACTGGGAGTTTCAGCTGGAAACAGATTTAAAAGCAGAGGGTTTACCCTGGTAAATGAGCACACTCATGTGCTCATCAAGGCAGGGCAGGGAGTTCATCAAGAACCTGCTTTTCTCCAAGAGGTCTTCCCCAATTCAATTCCTGCCATTCCCCCTAAGCCCCCAAACTCAGGGCTGTCGGTCGGCATGAACCTGACTCTGCTTAAGTTCCGAGTCCATCCCAGTGATGCCATCTTTGTGCCATGAAATGAGAAAGGTCCTTTCACTTTTCTCATCCACAAAGGGAAGAAAATCATCCTCCCTGGGGTAGCTTTCTTGAAATCTACCTAAGAGGTGAGCACCCTGATGAGGGACACAGCTTAGGTGGGCACTGTGGCCTTCCGGGGAGGTTGGCAACTGAGAGGTTCTTCTCCTCAGGGCCACAATCCACCCTCCTATATCCACAGCAGGAAGCACCTGAACCCCTGGTTGTTCCTCTCCTGGCTGAGCAGCAGGAATCCTCTTCATGCAATGACTGGTGATGCCCTCTGGGTGGTGCTCCCTGTTCACTGGGCACAAGGTCACCAGCATTCCACTATACTTCTGGGAGATGCCTTTCTAGCTTGTGTGTGTGTGTGTGTGTGTGTGTGTGTGTGTTTTCACCTTCACTTCTCCTAACCCCCTCCAAAGTATCCTTTAACCTATCTCCAACCTTCAGACTGGGCAAGGCTCTTCATTCCCAGGATGTGAAAAGTGAGTCCCCAGTAGATTCCTAGATCTAAAGGTACAGCTCAAATTCGAGTTTTCTTCTACAGCAGAATCCTCTTCCAAAGAAATTTTAAACAAAACTCAAAGCACATAAAACAGGTATTAGCTGAGTGGTTCCAGCAGAAGCAGGAGTGGGAAACCTGGACTTCCTTCCCACAAACCCCTCTTAGAGCACTAAGCCTTTGGGCAGTAGCTTACATTCCTCTCAGGATGGTGGGGCCCAGGTGTGAAAAACAACACTCAAGAGGCAGCTTTGCTAAGGGCAGATGCTGAAACTGGGAGCGGAGATGCAAAGAACAGAGACTGAAAGGAACCAACAAGGCCAGTCCTCACTGAGGTTGCAGACACAAGCAGAGTATCTCCTCTCCCTGACTCTCAAGAGGGAACGGAAAACATCTCACCTTTCTCCAGCATGAACGGCTGAGTCAGAGGTGGGATGGTCCAGAAGTCATCACTGTCCAGGCTGCGCAGGGATTGCACAGGGATGGTAGCTGACTGGCCAAAATCAATGAACATGACCACAGCCCAGGAGTCTACCCTGTCTACTACCCAGCACCTGGCCAGAGGGAATGAGGGAAAGAAAGGTGAGTTGGGCCACCAGTGCCAAGTACAGCAGCTCTCCACAGGAAGGTGTGAAGGGTGAAGCTCAGAGAGGACCAGTGAGTCTGCTTTGCTCCTTGGACCGCCCCCCCCCCCCGCCAGGGAGGGGAGCCTAAACAGAGAAGACCCCAGTGGAGGAAGCAGCAGGACAGGAGCCAGAGCCGAGAAGAGGAGACAAGGAAAGGAGCAGCTCTCCTGCCACCTCTCAATTTCCCACTTTCACACACTGCAGGTCACACCTGTTCCAGGCAGAGCCATAGTCACCCAGGTGGTGCTCTGCTAGACCACGAGCCCCTCGCTGCACAGCCGACTCATCCAGAAAGGGTTGCTGTTCCTCTGCCTCAGCCAGGGTGCTGAATAGTGTCTGCATATTTTGGTGCAGCGTCTGTGGGTCGTATAAACACAATGGGCCTCACTGCCTGCCCCACATCTGACATCTGTCTCTGCAGATGCTGCCTGTCACAGCAGCCCCACTAATCTGTCCCAAGGGAACCAACGGCTCTCTTGGGAAAGAGTACGAGATGTAAGCCAGAGATCAGACTGCAAATGCTCTAGGTTTCTGCCACCCACTGGTTCCCATCACCATACCTGCCCCAGGAAGAAGGCACAGAAACCCGAGGGCCACCGATCAGCACATACCTCAGTGATGTGCATGGCCCAGAAAAATGGGGTCTGAGGAACAGTACTGGTCACCAACAGCCCTGCCTCCCCTTGGATGCTGTGGATGAGGGCCAGCCAGCTCAGATCTTGGAAGCATTCCCTCAGGAGCAGCACCAGGAAAGATCCTCTGGGAAAAGAGCAAGGAGACAAAGGAAGAGAGTGAGTGAAAGACCAAACCAAACCAGCACCTGTCCTGCAAGAGGCTATATTGGCCAAGGGACCAGTCACCCTGGGCAGAGGTTGTGCCCACCATTCCAAGAGTGGGAATAAGACAAGTACCAAGCAACACAGTGCATGGCAGGGGATAGGAGGCCTGTGCCAGGGACACAGGTCCTAGAGAGTTCCAGAAGGTGTGTAACGGAGGAAATGGACATTGCAGGAACCTCCACAGGGAGAGAGGGGAACAAAGAACCCTTCTGGGTGCATTTTGAGTCTGAAATGACTAGGGAACTTCTGAATGACTCAAGTGTGGCTGCACACAATGTGGGATGTGCTTTCAGTCCCCAAAGCAGCTCCTGTCTGAGTTTCCACAATCTCAAAACTTCATTCTGCCACTCCAGTAGGCTTTGGACACACATGGTTTTAGCAAGGCAAACCTGCTGCTTCAAAAAACAAAACAAGCACACCTGTGGTGGTGCACACCTGTAATCCTAGCACTCTGGATACTTAAGTAGGAGGCTCGTGAGTTCGAGGCCAGCCTTGACTACACAGTAAGACTCTGTCTTAAAAAGAAAAAAAAGCTGGGGGTGTAGCTCAGTGGTGGAGCGCTTGCCTAGCATGTGTGAAGTCCTGGGCTTGATCTGCAGCATTGGGGAAAAAAAAAAATTGGTCCTAGACATGCTAATCAAACAAACTCTTCCGGTATCTCTGATATTAAGAATGGTGTCCACTGTAAAAGCAAAGTAGATGATGTGCCGGACATGGTCACCTACTGGCATTCAAGGAAGAGAATCACAGCATGTTAAGTGGAAAATGATTTTATGCCAGTATGGCTCACAGTCATAGACCTGGGTCTAATGCAGGAGTCCCCCCATCCAACACTATCCCTGCCCCATCCTCTGGGGAAAGGAATGATGCTGTCCTCACTATTTGCCACCTTACTCACCTCATTTCCATAGGAACTTCAAAGGCTGCCCTCAGTTTCTCTGTCTCACAAGGGTCAACAGACGCCTTAGGAGTGAGCTGTGTACAAGCTAGAAAGCGAAGATCGAGTCCTGGAGAGAGAACTGCAGTCCCATCCCCCATGAGGCCTCAGCCTGCCCTCCAAGGCAGCCTAAAATGGGCCAAGAAAATACATCCTTCTACTTCGCAGCCTTTAGCTCCTTATCTGGGTTAAGAAACTGCCCGTGGGAGAAGAGAAAGGAGAAAGGGATACTTCCTTTCTAAGGAAGGGTCAGCAGGGAACAAAGCTGGAATGGATGTTGAGGAGGAGGCAGTGACCCTGAGTATGCTGGGAGAAGCGAAGGAAGCGCTGCAAAGTCAGAGTCTATCTTATGTGGATGGCTACTCAGGATCTCACCAGCAGTCTGGGCAATCTCTTCACCAGAAGACTTCTCCAAAGCCTGGGGAGGAGAAAAGGCATCACTCAGGTGTGGCAGCATTTATTTTACCAGTTTATGGGGTGGATCATCCCAAGTCGGTTTGGAGACAGCAGCAACAGCCTCTCTGCTGACATGGACTTCAGCTACTTTTGAGACAGGAACCCACCTCTTCTACCTTTTTCAGGCCAACCTGAAAAAGAGATATGCAGAAAGAGGGAAGGGAGGGAGGGAGGCTGCTGCCAGGGGTGCATCCTCAGGCAGCTTTCCCCATATAAGGGGCAGAGGCCAACCAGGTCTGCCTGACCCTGCTGGCACTTCTGGGGGGAGGAAGAGGAAAGAGATGGGAGTAGCTATACTGGAAGCAAAGCTACATTGGGGACAGACAGGCCTGGATGCCTATAGTACTGTACCCCCCTCACCAGCCCACAGTGCTATCCCCCTCTCCTTTGTTCTCACCTGAAAACCCCCCACTCCTAGTTAAACCCAGGGACCTGTCCCCAAGCGGCTTCCTTGTATCCAGTGGCTCTCAGAGAATACTCAATACCACAGTCCCATGAAGCCCCTGATAAACCTCCCTCTCCAAATGTACCATTCATTTGTCTCCTTCAACCCCAACCTGATGAACTTGCCTCTTCATCACGGGAAAACTGGAAGCTATTAGATGTTAAGTCCCTCATCTTACCATGCACTGCAACCCCCTTCCCATATGCCTGCCCTCTCAGACAGTCTCCTGCTATCACAGCTGCCGTGGCCTGCTCCCACTGTGGCTCTGGGCCCTACAGTACCTCGCCTCACTTGGAACCCTCTCACTCACTGGACCCTTTCCACCAGGAAACAAACATTCTGTTACCTGTATTTACAAAGACCCCAACTTGAGCCCCACGTCTGCCTCTAATATAGCCTTTCTTTGCTCCCCTCACTGGAAGTAAAGTGTGCAGTACTGTCTGCTTCACGGTCTCCCTAGAAATGGCTCCACACAGGGCTAGCAATGGCCTTCACATTGCCAAAACCAACAGCTACTTCTCTGACCTGAATTTACTGGCAGTATTCCAACCATATCCTCTTACTAGAAACACTTATTTCTCTAGACGTGTTCCTATATCCTCACTTCCATGGTTTTGGGTACATAATTCACTATGAATGCCCCAAACTGGATCTCTAATCACTCTCTGGAATTCTTTCCACTCAAAGGTGAAGATGTCCACTTGATGGGAAAGCTAAGAAGTGCACAAATTCAGTGTGTCCAAAACAGACCCTCTCTGAGTTGTCTCAGCCACCTTTTCTAAGTGTGAGTGCACAGCAACATTATCTACTGTGGTTAGAGTCAAAATCATCTCCCCCTGGCTCCTTACATGAAATTCATCAGCAAGCCAAACTAGTCGTCTTCCAAACATCCCTGAATGCACACATTCTTCTCTCCCTCCATACCTACCACCCAACACTATCTCTTCCCAGGGAGACAGCAAATGTGATTCCTCACTGCCACACTTGTCCACAGTCCAACTGCCAGCAGACAATACCATCTTTTGCAGGCAAAAATCAGATCACATTATACCCAACCGAATCTTCCAGTATCTGCTCATAGTACTCATAAACAAAACTCAGCCTCCACCCTGGCTCAACAAGCCCACCCTGACCTGCCCCTCTCTTCCCACTGACCTTCCCTCTGCCCACTCTACCCTCCCCACCATGTTCACACCGTGGGTACTCAAAGCACTGCTTTGGCTTGGAATGTTCTTCCCATAGCCTTCACCTGGCCAGCTCTGACTTGTCAACCAGCTCTCAACTGACATGTCACTGCCCTACAAAAGGGGCCTCCCTCAAGCCCCATCACATCATCTTTTAATTGTGCCTAACACTTATTATTATCTAGTATTTTCTTGTTTCTCACAGATCTCTTCTCACAGGAATGCAAGCATTACAAGAATAAGAACCATTTTTTTTACCTTCTGACAACTATCTTGATTGCTGAGGCTACATCAGGATTTAGAAAATGCTTGGCACATACTAAGTTCTCAGTAAATACATGTTAAGTGAATGAATGAAACAAGAAATGATGGGGGAAAATTCTTAACTCTTCCTTAAGCATTTGTTTCCTCTTCTATACCATGAATGACACCTGCCTTGCTGTGAGGAGTTAGTTGGGATAGCATCTTCAGAACATGGCATGTTGCAGGTGGTTAAGAAATAAAAGCAGTATGCCAGAATGGTTAAAAGTGTGGGTACTAGAGTCTGGGCTCTAATCCTGGTTCCAGAACTAATTGGCTGCATAACTTTGGGTGAATTGCTCGGTGTTTGCATCTGCAGAATAGGAGGCAATGGCACCTTCTGCTGGATTCAAATACATTTTGCACAGTAAAACATAAGAGAGAGGCCTCAGTGAAATTAGCTACAGGGGTCAGTCAGTGAGACGCAAACCAAATCTCTCTGGCTCCCGTCACCTGCTTACTTGCAACAAAGCAGAGCCACATGCTAAAGCTAAAACTTGCCCTCCTCTCGCCAAGCACGCATGGTTCTTCGAATTTAGAATCTCTTCAGACAGTTCTAAATACTGACCTCAACAACCAGTGACCAGCAGTAGCTTTCACCTAAAAATAATTACTAATACAGAAACATTTTAAACCATTTTGGGTCTAATTATTAGTCCCTAATGACTTAAGAAATAAATACAAGCCCATGTTGACAGTTTGTGAAATTAAATTTCAGAGGAAACTCTGCATAATTATCATCCAATACCACAGTAGGCACATTATCCAGGATGTATTTATAACACTGAAGTGGCCACATGGAAGTGTCAGAGACCAAGGCTCATCTCAATAGCTGCCAAAACAGCCCATCTTAATTACGTTCTATTGCTGCTACTGGCACGGAAACCCTCAGGTCAATCAACAGCTGTTAATTACCTCCTTACTTTGTCCTGGGACATTTCTACCAACTGGCCAAGTGCTCTAAGAGCTGGCCTGTCCTAGAATCACCTACTCAGACTAAGCAGTGGGAAAGAAGACACAGGACACATGAAGGTCAGAGCCCAGAGGCTTTAGGGGGGCTCACCCAATCCCCTTCACCCACAGAGTTTTTGCACACTGCTCAGCAGAGATGCCTCACTGACCCTCCAGACAGTGGTGACCTCCCAACCACTTGAGTCGTGCCTCAAGTCTGGTCACTGCCACCCTCTAAGCAGGGTCTCTACCTAGGGAACTGCATCTAGGGCCACCTGAGGAGAGCATTCTGGTGAGAATTTATGTTTACAGTTTGAATCCTCATTTTGCAATTCCATGTGCCAGGTACAGAAATGACAAGATGAAAGGCACAGACCACAGAGAGCTCACACTTACTTCACAAATATTTATAAAATGCCTGCATTCCCAAAGCTCACATTCTAATGGGGGCAGCAGACACTAAGTAGGCCCATGGTGAGGAATGACATCAAGTATCACTTAAGAAACACAAGGTGGGGACAGGGATGAAGAGTACCTAGAGTAGGTGCTGTCTCAGGGAGAGTCCTGAGAAGGTGACAGTTGAATGACACCTGAATCAAGTGAGAAAGCAAGCCCTGCAGTCATATGGGAGAAGAGCCTTCAGGGTGACAACAGCAGGTCCACAGGCCCAACAATGGGGACATGCTTGCCATGTCTGGGGAACAGCCCTGGAAATGCTGTGACAAGACATTTCCATCTATTACCTGGACCACCTGAGACACATCTTCCTGCTTCCTCTCTGGCTCTAGAGAGTTCCTTTACAACTTAAATCAAGGTGAGTGAATGACTAAATGGTGGTGCATCCAAACAACAGAATACTACTTATCAATAAAAAAACAATTCTGATTGTTTTTGTTACAGCTGAATCCCGTAACATTCCTCTTGAGTGAAAGCAGCCAGACACAGAGAGGCACCTGTAGCGTGACTCCATCTACAGGAAATTCTAGAATGATAAATCTCACCCAAAGGCACAGCCAGCAGATTAGTGCTTGCCTGGGACCACAAAAGCAGGGATTGTTGGCTGACTGGAAAGTGACATGAGGGAATCTTATGATTTGTGTGTGAATTACTATGACCAATATCATAGTGATTATGCATACTGCATACTTAAAGTGGGCTCATCTTAAGTACGTTATACTTCAATCAGTATACTTAATACTCTAATAACGGGGACTTTTAAAAAAAGTCAATCGTTTAAATCTGATCATGCGGCTCTCGACTCAAACTGTCAGTGTTTGGATTATGTGATTATGTAAATACTGCTACAGAATCAAGTTATGTATTATTATTTTTATTCATATGTAACCTTTTTGCCAGGAATTAATGCTTTTTTCCACCTCATTCACTTAAGATTTCCTTGAATTTCTGGGTAAGTTTTCCCACAATGGCTCCTCATAACTCCTCTCAATTTTCCGTTTTTCTTCCTGCCAACACCACCTTGGAGCCTCCTACATTCTGCTCTGTCCTAGACCATCTGCTGCGTGATGAGAATTTGAGGATTTCACTCAGTCAGTCTGAGAAGTTCCTTCCCTGGGTTGGATCCCAGATATCCCCCCTCTTTTTGTTGTTGTTTACGGCTTTGTTTTATTGGAGCACATTCCTGCATGGCTTTCTGAGAACAAGTACGCGAGTCATACATTTCTTGAGACCTTACATTACTAAACAAGATTATATTTTACCCTCATTCTTTTTTGTGGGGTGGGGAGTAACTCAGAGCCTTGTGCTTGCTAGGCAGGTGCTCTATTATTTGAGTCATGCCCACAGCCCTCTACCCTCATTCCTGACTGATCTGATTAGGGCTGAACTTTCCTGAATGCCCACCCAATTCTGTATCTTTCAGTGTGGATGCTCTTTCTGAACCTTAGCCCCTATACTCTTAATGTATGTCTTTCTTTTTTTTGAGATAGGGTCTTGCCATGTAGTCCAGGCTGGTCTGGAACTGGAAATCCTCCCGCCTCAGCTTCCCAAGTGCTGGGATTACTGGTGTGGGCCACCATACCTTGCTTGATACTGAAATTTCAATATGTCCAGAAATAATATTCT